TTTTTTTCTCACGAGAATGTTCATAGGGGGGACCTCTTGTTGCGCACCCCTAGCGGTATCCACCTGCATTGGTTCCGGGGGGATTGGGTCTGACTGGGTTGTTCGGATTCTGCTGCTGAACACGAACCCCATGGCTAGGCAGTGGTTGGTGTGATGTCGGTCCGGGTGGTGGTGGGAAGTAGCGCTGGCCGTTAATGAAGAGTTTATCAGCTCTCATTCTTACCGCTTGGTTCTTTCTTTTCGCCTCTTTCATGACAGGATAGAGTATTTTACGTCTTTCATTGATTTCATATGGGAACTGTTCATTGACGTGATACATCGGTTTGGAGTGTAATTTAGTGGGAGCCGCTGATAATACTCTGTCCTTATCTTTCCTATTACTAAACACCGCCACGATCGAGCGTGGCCTGCCATCATGTCGTGGACGGAGTCGGTGCACCACTTGGAACGGTATATCATCCTCTATTCCAAGCTCATTCTTTATGAAATCATGAAGTACTGCTTTGGTATCTATAGGGTGAGTTTCCGTGCCAGTCTCTGTCTCTGAAGTGCCCCCAAACAACAGGTTGATTTTCATGGATCGTGTCTGGGCCTCGAGCAGCATCTCCTTGACCTCGTATGTCTGTTGCTGGGCCTCATCACGTTTTTGCTCAACTTTGGAGAGACGTTCCCCCAACAAGGAGTAGTGAAAGTCACTTTTCTCTATACGTTCCGAATGGATAGTCAGCTCGCGTTTGATATCAACGATAGATTTATCCATGCTACACAATTTTTCGTCCATTGTATTTAGCTTAATATGAATTTGATCCAAGACGTCCAGTATGTAAATATCGTGGATAACCATGTCGAGCCGAGGTGACGACTGGGCGGGTAGGGAGGTGGGGACGAGGCAATATTACATGTTCCTTGTACCCCTGAAGTGTAAAACATTTCCGATGGAACTTGCGGTTGAGGCTGTGACATAGTGTTTATGTGGTGACAATATAACTCTCTGTGGGCACTTGGTAAAACATCACTTAATACAGGCTGACATTCATTTGGGCTGCGCGTGTACCTGTATGCGTGTCACTAATAGTGGTCACGGGTGAGTGGCCCGCACCGTCAGACCTTCGCCTGTTAATATTCCGTTTTCGACCCATAAACACATTTCAAAAGTCCAAACTTTCATACTACTGACAGCCCTTGGTTCTGCACTTTCATTTTAAGCACAGAGCAAGCTGAGTACGTGTCTTCTAGGAGGTATACATGCCATTTCATCTCTGCCGGTCTTACAGGCGATCTACTCTCGCCGCCATGTTGGTCATCAATTCATCAATACCAGAACAGACTATAATGACATATCTATTGCTTTCCAGTGTTTATATAATTCCTTTGATCAGAAAAAAGTGGGAGAAAGGAGAACAAACCGATTTTGCAATGCTCAAGCGCTGAAAAGATTAAACTTTGAAAAGATTGTCGTAATGTTCGAAAATATCCCTTGCTTATGAAAATTTCAATTGGTAACCATGGAAGCCAGTA